ATACAGAGTCTATCTCTATTGCCCAGGCTGGAGTGCAGTGACCCAATCTCGACTCACTGCAACCTCTGCCTCCTGGGTTAAAGTTATTCTTTTGCCTCAGCCTCCCGAGTAGCTGGGATTTACAGGCACCTGCCACCATGCCCAACTAATTTTTGTATTTTTAGTAAGGCGGGGTTTCACTGTGTTGGCCAGGCTGGTCTCAACTCCTGACCTCATGATCCACCCACCTCGGCCTCCCAAAGTGCTGGGATTACAGGTGTGAGCCTCCGCAGCTGGCCTGTTAATACTCTTTTTACAAACTGCTATCTGCAAGTTTGTTTCTTTTCTTTTATTCTCTTCTTTTTTTCTCTCTCTCTCTCTCTCTTTCCTTCCTTCCTTCTCTCTTTCTTTTTTCTCTCTTCTTTCTTTCTTTCTCTCTTCTTTCTCGTTCTTTTTTTTCTTTCTTTCTTTCCTTCCTTCCTTCCTTTCTTCCTTCTTTCCGTCTGTCTGTCTGTCTTACTCTGTAGCCCAAGCTGGAGCAGCACAGTGGTGCTGTGACATGGTAAAAGCCCCATAAAACTGCATACCTCAACCATACCTCGGCTTTCTGTTTAAACTGCTCTCTGTAACCCTAAGGTGACAGGCAAGCAATCCAAGCCCACGCCATCTTGGTCCCTGTGACTTGTAATAAGTAACTAAGGTCTATAATTTCCACCCTACACAGGCAATGTGTAAGGCTTATCTTAGCTTCTGTGAACCACTTAAGTAACAATCAGAATGTCTGAAGCCCCTCACCCTCACCCCTGCCCAGGAGGCGGTTTGCAGAATGACCAAAGTCCACTGGCCCTCGGAATGTCCAAAGCCCCTCACCTCCACCACTGCCCAAGAGGTAGTTTATGGGCATAAAAGGTCTTGACACCCTCCTTTCGGGGCCACGGGTTGGAGAGAGGTAAGTCCTCCGTGGCCACTGACAATAAAGACCCTACAATTTAGCATTCTTTTGTCTTGGTGTTAATTTTCTATGCTCGCTCTGGTACAACAGTACAATCTGAGCTCACTGCAACTTCTACCTCCTGGGCTCAAGTGATTCCGGGGCCTCAGCCTCCCAAGTGGCTTGGATTACAGGCCTAGACCACCATGCCTGGCTAATTTTTTGTATTTTAGTAGAGACGGGGTTTCACCATGTTGCCCAGGGTGGTCTCAAACTCCTGAGCTCAGGCAATCCACCTGTCTCAGCCTCCCAAAGTGCTGGGATTACAAGCATGAGCCACTGCGCCCGGCCTTCTTTTCTTTTGTTTTAAAAGAATTCATCATCTGTACTTTGTGTATACTTCCTACAGGCCAGAAATTGAATGAGATGGTTTGTGGCAGGGGAGAAAAACTTACATTATCAGAAAGAGCCAGATGTTTGCAGGCAGTTCCGCAAACAGCACATTTTTCTGGGAGGGAAAAAAAATGTTGGGTTCTTATGAGCATGAGGTAAGATTTAAAGACTCAAAGTACATGGCAACAATCTAGTGTGCTAGCAAGAGAAGAAAAAAGGGTTCTTACTGAATTTAGAATATCATTGTGCTATAAAAGGACATCAACTTAAGCTGTGTTCTCTAAACAAGTGTTTCCAAACTAGTATGTTGAGCTACAAGAAGGGCTTTCACACTGTACCTCTACCCATCTCTCTATCTTTTAAATTTTATTTTACATTTATTTTGAGACAGGGTCTTGCTCTGTCACCCAGGCTGGAATGCAGTGGCACAATTACTGCTCGCTGCAGCCTCAACCTCCCGGGCTCAAGTGATTCTCCTGCTTCATCCTCCCAACTAGCTGGGACCACAGGCGCACACCATCACTTAAGTTAATTTTTATTTTGTTATTATTTTTAGAGATGGGGGTCTCCCTATGTTGCCCAAGCTGGTCTTGAACTCCTGGGCTCAAGTAACCTCCTACCCCGGCCCCCGTGAAGTGCTGCATTTATAAGCATAAGCCACCATCCCGGCACCCCCCACCCCATCTTTTTGTAAATTCCCAATTTTCTTCTGTGGGACAGAAGGGACAATTCTAAACTCCCAGCCAAAGTACTGGAGTACATTTACAAGAGTAGGGAAGAGTACAAGATACCAATGACCTTAACTTCAAGTTACTCTTTTTTAATCCATTGACCTGACAGCAGGCACACATTGAGTACTGTAAGAAACTCCCCAGTTATCCCTGCCTTGTCATCACTTTGCTGGTATTTGTTAATCTTGCTTTGAAGCTCTGCTACTCTCATTCCCCAATTAACTCAATCTGAAAGAAGCAAAAACTGAGATTCCTAATCTTTCACAGTAAAGTGAAATTTTAGTAGTGGGACTGGTTATTGATTAAGACAAATGCCATGTCAGGAGAAAACATCACATGGCATATGCTTCACAGAGACAAACCACTCCAAAGTGAGCTGCTGTTACCATAGTAAACAGCTTTTTACATTAGCAGACAACTTTAAAAGGTCCTGAGATTTGCACAGAGAAAAAAAGCTTCCCCAGAGGCTACTTGACTGTTCTTTATCTGGGGACTAAAGGTTTTTCCGCAGTCCATATTGTTGCCAGAGTGAGCTAGCAAGTGCATATCATTCTTCTCTTAAAAAAAAAAAATGGCTCACACCTGTAATCCCAGCATTTTGGGAGACTGAGGCAGGTGGACCACTTGAGGCCAGAAGTTCAAGATCAGCCTGGCCAGTGTGGTGAAACCCTGTCTCTAGTAAAAATACAAAAGTTTGCCAGGCATGGGGGTGTACACCTATCATCCCAGCTACTCAAGTGGCTGAGACACGAGAATTGCTTGAACCTGGGAAGCAGACGTTGCAGTGAGCCACTGTATTCCAGCCTAGGCAATGAAGTGAGACTGTCTCAAAAACAAAACAAAACAAAACAAAAACTTTCACAGGCCTCCATCACCTGCAGGATAAATTTCAGACTCGTTAGCCCAGTGTATAGAGTTTTCCATCATCTGGACACTACCTACTTCACTAGCCCCATCTCACCACTTCTTACCTTACTGTTTATACTGTACCAATCCCAACTATGTGTGTTCCCTGCAATATGGTTTAATGATGTAATATGTTTTTGAACATGCTGTTCTCTTAAACTAGAATAAATCTTCCCTGCTTTATCCACTTGGCAAACTCCAGTTTATCATTCAAAATCCTATTTAAGCATCTCTCTTTCTGTAAAGTGATCACTCTTCCATGATCAAAGCACCCTACCCCAAGGCCATCTTCTGAGGATTTACATACCTTGTAAGTATTGCAGCATTAAAACAAACAAACAAAAAAAAAAAACTTAAATTGGGCCGGGCGCGGTGGCTCACGCCTGTAATCCCAGCACTTTGGGAGGCCGAGACGGGCGGATCACAAGGTCAAGAGATCGAGACCATTCTCGCCATGATGAAACCCCGTCTCTACTAAAAATACAAAAATTAGCCAGGTGTGGTGGCACACGCCTGTAGTCCCAGCTACTCGGGAGGCTGAGGCGGAAGAATCGCTTGA